CTGGCTTATTTTTAATTTTCCATCTTCTTCTTCCTGGTCTATTTACCACGCCGCCGAACCCCAATTGCGAACCGGTTTGACTCCATGCCGGTCTGGACATGCTGTTCAGCCCGCCGCGCCTAACGCATCTTGAACTAAAACCACGACCGTCTGCTCGGTAAATCGGCCTCATTAGCTGTTTTAATTTCTACTAGTCACTGAAGTTTTAGAAGCACATGAAAGGGTAAAGAGCAACGCCTAGCCTTTCTGAGCGACCGAGACATGATCTGTTTACTCTTTTTCTTTCACTTCCCCTTCCTCCCAGGATATCACGGGGGATGGCCGAGCGGCTGGCTACCTGACCTACATAGTAGAGTCGTTGACCGAATCCGGCAACTCCAAATTCGGTTCGGTTACAAGGACTATTTGGCAGGGTTTTCTGTCCCTTGTTTCCTCGCATCTCGCCATGTGGGCGCTACGCTGTCCAGTTTGGACTATTTGTGTTCTCCGGCATCTCCTCACACATCCTAGGTTATTATCATTCAAGTGACACAAGCGACAAAGGCTGAGAGAAAGAAAGATGGATTCGTGACAGCGAGATTGACGCCGCTCGCCACCCTTCATAAGATCTTGTCCCCGATCCGCCAGCACATCCCATTCAGCTTTCCCTGGGAGATATCTCGGCAACGGCTCCTAAGAACGGCAACCGTAAGCCAAAAGGCTGGTGGCGCCCCCCCGGCACGGCTTCTGGATCTGGATCTGGATCGAAAAGACCTTTGGTGTCATCGAGTCAGACTTTGTTTTTCTTACTTGTTTTCTCTCATTCCAGCTCGCTAAATCGCACATCTGTGATGGTGGTGAGCCGTGACCTCGTAACAAGGGTCATCACCTGCCATTCATTCGCTGCACCTTTCTTGTTGCGTGTCTGACAGCCAGCCAACCTGCACTAGCTGATGTGCATTGGCGTCGAAAATTCAACGGAATAAAGATTGTACTGCGTAGTGTAGGTCGGGAACCAGATCCTCGGTGCTTGTCAGACCCTTCCACAGACCTTCTGGAAGCTTTGAAGCTTTCTTTCCTTTTCATTCAGTGTGGCTCGCTAACCTTTGACGTCCCATTGGATTGTGCTTCGGCCAGACATACCGCACTAGGTGTTATTCTCGTAGGCTCTTTCAAGATCCCGAGTTGGGGTATCGGTCGAAGCATTGCCCATAAAGACCTTGACGGCAGTTCATCGAGAACTCATTGTGGATTCTTTAGAACTGCCGATCATTGACCAAGTTCACTCAATAGGATAGATCGCGGTCTTGGGGGAGAAGATATTTCCAGTTCCTGGCTGGGACTTTCGTCATGTTGGAGATCATTTCCGTTGAACAAGTCAATCTGCTTACGGAATTATCATCTTGATCCAAAAGTCGTCGTCAGTTGCCACGACGGCGACATCTTTCCAGCCCCAGCAAAGATCAACTCCAAAAGTTTTTCGAGGTCGTCTGACAAGCCAATGTCGTGTAACAGGACCCAAAAGCTTGAAAAGATTTATAAAATACATTTGCATATTTTGATTGGATCAAAGTCGTTGTTGGAAACAAAGCCCCCTCCGTAGTCTACAAGCCACCGCAGATGATCATGATAACCGGGGCGGAGGCGGAGACCAAAACACCCCCACACATTCTGCCAACAACATGTTCACCCACGTTTGCTGGCTACACATGTGAATGTAAGCAAATGACATGTTTTCAAGCGGGAACTCATCAGTCTTGGCAATATCATGGGCATTCAAGGCAGTGGCCATCTCAATTCCTCCCTTGCAAACCCCCCCGCAGCGGGCTGCAGACAAGGCGCACACACATACACAACCTTGTCTAGATCAAACTACGTTACCAGTTTTCTTTGCCATATCGTATTTGCCGTGCCTCGAGGAATCCGCTTTTAGGTATCAGTCAGCAAGTTTCACAACGTTTTCACGAGTCGTGCAAGTGCAGCAACCAAAAAAACATCCCTGGTCTCCGCCATGAACTGTAATCGATCGTCCGGGGGATAAGATGAAAATAGAAAAAGAAATTACATAGGCCAAGACGGGTATCATGTTCCCAGGGTAGGTGGTCCATGATGGGTTTTTCCTTGGCGCTTCCAACCGTTTTTTCCTTGTCGTTCGTTTGCTGAACATGGGCATGGCTTCGGGAGTTGGTTGGAATTGTATATTTTTTCCTTCTTTCAGCCTTCGGGTTTATCCGCTTAGATGCCTGGTATACGAAGCCCCCAGCCCCTGGCAGTTTTGTGGGTGTCTTTTTGCTGGGTTATCGTGCAGCAATGGGATGTGTGATGATGGCATCATCTCTTTCGAGCTAGTAGTTACCCAACGCGAGTTCCGGAATACCTGCGACTATGGAACGCCACTTTTCTCAATCCCATACGCTGCTGACGGACTGGCACCTCTATGCGGTGTGATATTCCTTTTTCAAAAAAATGATCGTGATCGCGAATCAAAAGAAAAAGAGGCAATGACATGACCAGGAACTTTGGTGACATGCAAAACCTGAGCATATGAGGCGGGGGTGATAATACATCATCGTCCCCGGATCTCGCTACTGCTCGACATGGTAAACAAGAGCCCAGAAATGACTGCCGTGGCAAAAACAAGCAAACCAGCTTGCTACCATGGATAGCAAGCAGAAGTTGTATTCACAAGATGGATCGGGTTGCTCGAGGCTGTCAATGTTTGTGATTAGGACGATTATAGCCCTAGTCAGCCATCATGACAACAGCCCAATCTTTGACACGTCCAAGGAGCCATTGCTTTTGTTCGGAGATACCGCGCGTGTATCAGTTATACCAAAAGTCGGCCATGGTCAAAGGGCACATGTAGCATTGCTTTCAATCATGGGCTTTGGCCCGTCAATAGAAGTCGGTTGCTATGCTACAATTCAATTGTATGGGATGGCTTTTGTCACGTACAAGCTGTTGATTCGATTCGGCCGAAGTCGAAAAGGTAACTCTTGCCAATGCCCATACATGCCCCAACCCGATCTGTGTAAATCAAGAGCTGAAGCTTTGGAATTTTCAGCCTCGACCGCCAACGAGCGCCACAAAGATCTCGAGCTGACAAGATTGATCGAAGGTTGATCTAGGCATGTCCAGCGCGTGGTATCTAGTGGTTTCAGATATGGCATCTTCACGGGGTCTGGCAGGATCAATATCAAATTATGACGATAAATAGTTGAAAAAGTACCCTGCGTCGTCTAGACTCAGCCGTGACTTGGGCATCTCAGGATTGGAAAGCCACTAGGTTATATCCTTTTCTCATTCAACCGGATTTATTCTTGTGCAGGATGATCAAATAGTTGGCGCATATTCGTAGTCAATTTGGCGTCCCATCAAATATGATCATTCTGAACCAATAGATAAGTTTGCTCGCGGTTGATTCCTGATCAATGTTGGTAAAGTGTTGTTACTAAATCCTGAATAAAATCATCCAAACTCTAGAGAATCAGTCACTCACCAACATAGAAACAGTGGCGGGTGTCCAAGATGGGTGTTCCTGTTGATGAGATCTTTATCAATCACGATATGAAATTCAAGTTTACTGGCCGAGAGGGGAGTACGACAAGCAAATTCGCATTCTTCCAAGGCTTCATTCCGGTTGACACTATCGCATCTTATGCCGTGTTCCTCGACTTCAGTAGCCTGCATAGTATTGGACATTTCCATGGCCGAGTCTTGCATATACCATGACCGTCGCCATGGCTAGTTCTTGATATCAGCCCATCTGTCCATGACGTGTAGAGTCTGTGGCCGACTTTCCCATTCATTGATTCCCCCCATAGTGTTGGGGGCTCCAGCAACGCCTGGATCCTGGGCATTTCCATACGTACACTCTCATACCAATCGACAGTATACTATCCGCAACATGATCTAGGCTGCAGTAGTAAGTTTTCTTGTGACCTGTATATTGAGGAGTGCAGTCGGGGTGGAGTCATAATAATTGATAACGTCTTCGCCATAGCGCAAGCCGGAGCCTCGAATCATGGAGATATTCGACAATAGTTGATACTACGTATCATATTTCTCTTGCAACCCTAAAGGAAGAAGTCTCGAGATTGCCCGACTGTCTGATACGCTATATATTGTGCCTGCATGTATTGATTCCGCGTCAAAGGGCACTGACTAAGAGAATATAGCTGAGGGGAATATCGACGCAGACCATGGGGCATTTGTGCCTTTTCAATTTCTCTCACATATGCTGAGCAAGTTTGCTTCTTTACAGATACCTTTGTATGTGAATAAGATGGTCAACGTTGGGAAATAATCATACTGTTCATCTAGGAATTGGAATCATGAAACGCAGAGAGACGCACAGATAATAATCCATATTCATGTATTCAAGTTTCCTGGTTTTATTCTTTCTTCCATCATCCACTCATATTTTCTATGGCCTACCGTTTAGTTCCCAGCAACTGCCCTGGGCTTTCCATAAACGAAAGGTCCCTCCGCAGGAGTATCGCCATGGGCTGGCTTTTTTTTTTCAAGAAATATGAACAATGGCGCAAGAAAATAGTAGCTTGTAAATCTTGTACTATTCCCTGGTCCCTGGTCCCGGTGCTCAAGTCTGTCCTGTAGCTCCAAGGTCTACTCCCGCTATTTTCCAGTGTCTTGAACAGTACCGCCGTGGCCTGAAAACCAGCAGGTTCCGTTTCTGCTGCCCCAAGGAACCGACCCTACTCATTGCTGAGGAGATCATCTTGCCACCTATAGCGAGCTCAAGCGCATATACCGCGCTTCCCGTTTCCTTTGCTGACCTCCATATAGGCCAAAGTTGGCAATAAGGTCATATTACCGGGGGTGGCAAGGGGCAAGCAGCCAATGTATCAACGGTAATTCCCGATTATACAGCCAACAAGGCATGTCTTTATCCCGCGGATAAGCATGTCAATGTTTGGACGTTCGCGTCTCGGCCCAGTGAGTACATGTGGCGGCGACTCTTGTTTAGATAGTGTAAATTTTGAACTTTGAAACACTCCTGGTTACCACATATCGTCTTGTCCGTTATGCCGCCTGTCATTCTGCTGGTAGCCACTACTGTGATCGCCATCGTATTGATCTTGACCATGTTCATAGTCGTACACTTCTGCATCATCTGTGTAATCTCCCGACTGTTGGGTAGGTGTATCGCCGTATGAATTCGATGTCTATACGGTGGTCAATACTTGGGCTCGTCCCATCAGTCTGAGGAAGCACTTACCCGATGGTACTCAAAACTGTATTGATCCATAGCCTCTTGGGCCTGTTGCTGCTGCTCCATGTACTGTTGTTGCTCCAGGTACTGCTGCTGTTGTTGCTCCAGCTCCCTGCGTCTCCTCTCCTCCTCTTGCAATCTCTTTTGCTGAGGGGATTGTGGTACTTGTATTTGCGGATGCATTGCCTGAACCTTTGCCAAGTAGGCGTACATGAAATTGCTGAGAAGAACCTGGCTTTGAAGAGCGCGCCGAGGATTGGCAAGCTTGATATGTGCCATTCTGTATATAGCACGCTCCTCCAGTATTGGGAATCGGGTCCAATGGTAGTCCTTATCCGGCACAAGTGGTCGGTATGGAGCAGGCTCAGGAGACACGGGCCGCTGACTGTGCGACTTCTTTCCTCCCGAGTCCCTGTCTCCCTTCTTTTTACCACCAAAGAGGTTAGAGAAGAGGCCGTCCTTCTCCTTCCGGTGCTCGCTCTTTCGGTGGCTTTCTTTCCGCCGTTCTTCCTCGAGCTTCTCATCCACATTTTCGCGATCCAGAAGAAGACTTTCCCGTCCTTTTTGTTTGACATTGTCGATGGAGTTCTGCAGCACGTCGAGGCGGACGTTGTCGTGGGCCTTTTCGACAAAAGCCTTGGCCTTGGACCTTTTGCTTTCCTCATCCTTGTCCTTCTTTTCGTCCTTCTTCTTCTTGTCCTTGTCCTCACTCTTGAACCATTTCCAACTCGTGCCCTTACTGCTCGTGCTGTCGGAATCGCTCCGGTCCTTCTTGCTCTTTTTATCGCTCCTCTTCTCCTCGGGAGCAGCAGCAAAAGTCGGAATAAAAGTCAGACTATCAGTTCTCGAGTTGTTGCCGCCAGGCAATCCAGACGGTTCATTGAGCGATTGTTCCGTCTTGTGGTGCCGCGCATTCTGCGGTGGTTGAGCAGGAGGTGGCTGTTGTTGCCGAGGCTGACCTTGTTGACTATAGTTCGGTCGGCGGGAAGACCTAGCTGGTGGCTCATCCGGTACGTGATCATATGATCCAGAACTTTGTGTATAATTGCTTTGAGACGACGATCGCTCAGGAAAGACGTGTGCCTGTTGTTGTGTATTATGTTCAGAAGGCTCAGCGGCAGGTGTTTCGACGATAGTGGGCACCGATGCGCTGTTGTTACGGGAATGGCTCTGGAAAGATGTATCGCGAGAATCAGCCGGCTGCTCAGACGTAGCCTCGGCTTCGCCGGTCTCTCGCGTAAACGTCTGTTGTCTACGAACTGAACGCGAAGGGCGTGAGAAATTGTCGGCTGTCGCACCGATAGGCGCAGACTGAACACGCGAAAATCCGTAGCCTGGTGGAGCGTCGATCGTTGAATCCGTGGCGTCCGCCTCTTCACCACCTTCCTCAGCCTTTCGAGCGGCGATACGTTTCGAGAAAGGCAATCGATCACCTTTGCTGGAGCGATCTTTGAAACTTCCCCCCTTCCGGTACGTTGTTCGAGTTGAGCGACGCAGGCCCATTCCGGGCGCAACAGGGAGAATGGGCATATCCTCTGGTCCGTCAGCACCAGATTGCGATTCGAGGGCCAGCTTCTGGACAGCCTTTGTGGGATCCTTCACCAGCTCATCCAAACTTAAACCTTCAGGTGCTGCTGTGATACCTTCAGACGTAGAGCTTCTCCTTCCCAAACGGTCAGCGCCATCCATGTAGCCATCGGCTCCGCGACCTCCGGCATTATCAATTTGCCTGGACAGCATCGACTTTTTCCTCCTGAGACCGCTGTCGCTCCTGTCCAATCCATCGACGGAGAGAGATGATGTCGATTCACTGGATCTTCTCTTTATTGTCTGCACTCGTTTTTCAAGAAAGTTCTTGAATTCCGTGGGCGCCAACTCAGGGTGAACACCAGCAGGCACCCATAGTAGGCGGGAAGGATCGTTTTCGTCATCGTCGCCTTGAGGAGCGATGGATGGCATGGCCATGAGCGACATGCCCTGAAACGGCAGCAGATCCGGATCATGATTATTGGACACATCCATAGACATGCGTCTCAAAGCCTGGAGGTTGCTGAGTTCCTGCGCTATATCGCTTGCGTTCTCAATATTGCCTATTGGAAACTGCGAGCTCTCTCCGCCGGTCATTTCGCGCAGGGTCGGAGACATGGGGGATCGGGGGGAGCCTGGACTATTGAGAGAAGTCTCACTTGGCCTTCGAGTTGAGATCGTGTTGGACTTTTTGATAGCAGATCCATTTGTGCCTTCAAACGACTGCTCGTCAGTGTTATCCGAGTGAGAGCGCACCAGTCGAAGCCGATGCTCTTCCGGCGCGGCTAGCGATTCCTGCCGATGTCGCGATATTTGCTCGCCTCCATAAGGAGCAGCAATGAAGCTCATGGGCCGCGAGTCGCTAGCTGAGTAGTCATCGTCGTCGCCATACAAAGTGCCTATTGTCTCAGTGATGTGATGGCTCGAATCGGAAATCGAGAGCTGGTTGGCGTGGCCACGCCGGCTCGCGAAACTGTGACCAACATCGCGGGGACGAGACGAGGTCTATGGCAGGCAAGATATGTCAGTTATCTACAGCGCTCTTAAGGCATATTCATTGATGACGGGGGATGGAGATGGAAACGTCATATCCATGGTAGTCAAGAATCTTTGATAATGCTCATGCTGACTGGCCGATTCATTCTGCTTCCAAGGCAGTCCGTGGACGAGCGCGCCGCGCTGGAAGAATGCGGGAGAGACAAGAGAACTCACCATCATCTATCCCGTATGGTGTGAACCTCAGAAATGAGGCCCCAGGTACATAATCGTCCCCCCAAGAAATCGGTGTTCTGTGGCACAAGGCACTATCTCGACTATTGCAGAGCTACCATGGGGGCACGATGAGGCCGCAGGGGGCGTCGATCAGTCGATCGAGTTATGTGCCGTGTGATGTCAAATGATGGCCGCTTCGTAATAACCCGGTTAGAGGGGCAGTCTGGTGTTTGGCCGGGACAGATGGGATCGTCAGCGATCAGTTTGCGGTATTGCGCTGGAAACCCGAGTCTGCGTCGATTTTTGGGGGTGAGCGTCCCTTCGTGCTTCTCGCTACCCGCCTCCTCTTTGGTGGCGTCTGTCTGGTCTGCTGGGGGTGGGAAAGCAGATAGTAAATAGCAGTCGCGGTTATTAGGGGGGTCCGACAAAAAAGACGCGAGGTGAAGTTGAATGGACGGTGGACAAAGTTCGGTTGGCTGGGTTGGAGGCCTGTCGTTCGCTACGCTATGCTACGGGAAACGATGTGGTAGAGTCGAGGTCGAGATCAAGGTCATGGCGTGCACTGCTCAGTCCGTTGTCACTCTCCTCACTTTGTCTGCCTCTTCCTGTCTGTCGCCCTGCTGGGGGATGTGGTCTTTTGGGGACAATGATAGGTGTGTGTAGGCCGAGCCGTGTGGTGTTAAGGCAGGTAAGGTAGGTAGGTAGTCAGCGGAGGTAGGCAAGTACCAGAGGCAGGCATGTATATGCACTCTCTACATTACCTCCTCTAGGTAGGTAGGTCAAGGTACATTAGGTGCTCCTCCTAGCGGGCAAGGCAGGCTTTGATCCATTAATTTGCGTTGCTTACCCAAGTAGACTTTGGGCTTTTTGGGCCTGGACGGACGCTGTGGCCCTTGCTTTGCGTGATACTGGGTACCCAAGCAAGAGAAAAAATTGGTCGATCCCTTTTGGGACTTTTCAACTCACTGATTGAGAGTTCCAGTCCTTGACTTGCCGGTCAGGGCTTTGCTTCAATGGTTTCCATGCCTCTCTTCTTTTCCTGTCTCAACCCTCCAAAAGGTCGAGTGTTCCCTCCCCTCGCTATCTCACTATCTACCTCACATAGACACTAAGGCCCTTCTGCCTTTAGCGCATTAGTGCAATTAAAGGCGCCCAAACTGACGGCCAAACACCCCTGGGACTGTCACGTGCAGACGGGTTTGGTAGGACCTTTAGTGGCGTCAAACGTCCGCGCTTCAAGTGAGTCTAGCTCTATCCGGCTCGGGCACCCGCTCCCCTCTCAACGTCCTTCAATACAACTTCAGGCGATGCTCGGGCGAGCAGCCCCGGCATTCCGCAAGCTTCAATATTTTTCAGGACCGGTCCGTGAGACAGAATGCCCAGGCTCATCAGTCTTGGAGCTGTCGGGATTGGTATGGGCTGCTGCCCGAACTTGATACAGCAGACGACGTACAACGTTATGTAACTGACCGCTGTTGAAGATCCTGCGGGTCGGAGGCTGAACATTGAGATCTCCGCTTTGGATACTCCCTCCCTTCTTTCTTCGCTTCATTCTACGCGATTCCAGTCAAAAAGTCAAAAGTTATGCATTTTCACTTTTGCGCAGTGGAGTTTCGCATCGACGGGGGGCGTTTGAATAATGTATGGCGTTTTCCAGAAAAATACCGTCAAAGCCTGAGTTGACCCGGGCGCTTGGGCGAGTCCAGATCTCAAATTAGAACATCAATCGATCTAGCGGAGCGGGTAAGCAATCAAGATGGATGTGTATGTACGTACATACGTACTACGTACTTGCATTGAATTATATTTGATTGTGCTACTACACAATTGCATCTCACTCCAAGAAACTCAGGGGCAATGGCACGTTGTCTGTCCGAATACGGACAGAGCACAGTGACATTTCAATCTCTACATGCCAGGCTCTCGCCATTATTATTGAGTCCCAATCTATAGCGCCGACTTTTAACTCTCAGGGGTAAATGTAGATGGATGGACCATCGGCCGCCTCAATGTTCACCTTCTCGGACATCCTACAGACCGACCGATATGAGCCGCACCGGGTCTTTTGCAGACACAAGGAATTATGTTCATATCACGGCAATGACCCGCGACTGGACATGGCTGCTACATGCACAGCTCGACAAGTGTTGCTCGATACATATCCAGTCCCGTTTCTGCATAAATTCATAACATATAATCTGCGATTCACTTTTTTTTTTCCCCCCCTTCCTCCCTCCCCTAACAGCCTCACTTTCAGCCCAACGACGATGTTTTACCCACGTCTAGTCTCTACTTACAAGTGCCCCCAGTACCCAATAGCGCTAGGCCTGTTGCAACAAATGTGGTGTTCAATGCCTCTCGAGTATCTTCCCCAAGGGACGGGAACGTCTAAACGTTGCGGCTCGCGTCTTTCATTCTGTCTTATGCTGTCACTACTCTCACTCACCTAGCTGTGCTTAAAACATAATGTGGACGCTGTCACCAAGCTGCATGAAACCTAATATTTGGATGCCGCTAGCCATGCGAACCGAGGTATATTTGTACGTCACGGCCCGCGACGAGAAGGCAGAGCGACTCATTCGACTTGTCACCACTATTGGCTCGGCTCGAGCCGACATATATTGAACGCTCTTTGCTGTTTCTGAGAGTTCAAGATGGTCTCAATGGAGCGTGTCAGCATATTATCTGCTTCGATGTGATCGGCCGTGTAACATCCGTGGCTCCGTCATCGTCATCCGACCCCGATATAACCCAACCAAGTATTATACACACTCGATTGATATGCATGGGACAGAATGGATCCATGATCATGCAAGGTAAAAGGTCGGGTCACGATGTAGTGTTTTCTTCCATACACATTCCAGAAACAGTGTCTCGTGCTACGGCACTTGGAGTAGAGTGGTTCCCCACCCTCCCAACTGTTTGTCAGGTCTGTCCCCCTCATGCGACCCGTGGTTTATTGTCAAGATTGCCAGTGCAACCAATTGGAGCCTCGTTGCATTGAAATGAGCCTCATTGTCAACCCCAATTGTTCTTGCAGCTGATCTTACGGATGCAGATATCGTACATTCTCAGATTGTTCTCGGTATCTAATTTCATCCCCGGTTCGTCCTTGCTCCGGGGACAATATTGTCTATTCGCACCAGTCTGTCTACTCCTGCGGTACCATTGAGCAACTGTCATTACACCACTAGAAGCGTAGTACAGATTACCTTGATGTACTTTTACTTGACTCGGGGCAGTACTGAGATAATCTTTGCAATATCTCACAGTCAGACGAACAAAGCAGAGTCGACAAGCGATTGAATGAACTGCCAAAAGTCGAGGTAAACAACTCACCGTGTTTTTCAATCCCAAAGATCCATTACCAGAGGACTTGGGTATTACTTCCAACGTCCATATATTTCATCACAGACCAAATCTGTCATCCAGGATTGTTCTCATTGGTGTTTGATATCAATGAATCAGAATGAGTTTTCGTGAATCAACATATGTCGGCTGTGCTTACCCTTTGCATTCCAAAATTGAACAGGGAACATTCTCTTGGCCTACCTAGGTAAGTAGGTCCGAGCTCATCTTTTGCTAAGAGGCCAAAACAATCAAGTCGCCAGACGTTCATCCGGCCTGCTGCATCGTAGGCGAATATATATATTTACATGTCGTGTATCTATACCCTGGGGAGAGGTGAGATCCGAAGATCCGCGCTATGGTCGAGTCAGCCCACCCGTCCTCTCCCCACATAATCGTGACACCCGAGCTGCAAACTACTGCAGTCGGTTTGTCTACATTAAGGTTAGGTTCGTGATATGTTGGAGTCGTTCCCTGTCATTGCTTGCATACATACCATTGCTTCTCTTTCTCTCTCTCTCCTTTTATCCCGGGGGTTGATCACAGGGTCTTTTCTTGAATGAACACTGGGCAACACACAGACAAACCAAGCCAACGTCCCTTCCTTGTACTTGTTTTTCTTTTCTTTCTTGCCTCTTTTCACCTCGTCACCAGATCCGCGTGTTCGGCAACGTCTGAAACATGCCAGCCTATCCCAGAGACCATATGAAGCGTATATAACCACCACAATTATATCAACCTGCGGGCATTATTATTCTGCGCACATCAAACATTCTCTATTCGTTCTAGAGCGTATACAAATCCTTGTGCAATACACGCCAGTCCTTCTCCATGGCAACCCGCCTCTTCCTAGCATTGGTCTCATGGCTCGCAGCAGTACAGGCTACTACGCCGCAATCCTGCTGGAGGGATACGGAATGCAGTGGCCCAGATGATGCCGCATTTCCTGGTAAATGGGAGCAAAATATCTTTGCTCCCGCGTCCAGAACAGTCTCTCCCGTGGCATTCCTTGAAGGCTCAGGCCTTGAAGCAATCGACGCGTCAACTACCACTTTGCAATTGGACGATGTCACCCTGCCCAGTGTCATTGCCGATTTTGGTTTCGAGGTGGGAGGGATTTTGACAGTTGAATACACTGTCAGGTCAGTGCACGGCAGCAACGCGATTGGGATGGCCTTTACAGAGGCCAAGGACTTTGTAGGACCCAACTCGGACAGCACGACTGGCATCTTTTCCAGGCCAGAGGGCGCCATCTACGCAAACATCTCGGAGAAGGGCGACTTCATCTACGTCATGCCCGATGAGTACCTTCGGGGTGGATTTCGGTACTTGACGCTCTTTTTGCAGCCAGGGAGCGTGTCCATTGAGATCCGCAACATTTCCCTCGAGATTGCCTTCCAGCCGACGTGGGCCAACCTGCGGGCTTACCAGGGATACTTTCACAGCAGTGACGAGCTGCTCAACAGGATATGGTACAGCGGCGCGTATACGCTGCAGACCGACGCCGTTCCCCCGTCTACCGGCCGAGCATGGCCCGCGCCTGAGACAGCGTGGCAGAACACTGGATATCTTGGCCCGGGAGACACGATTCTGACCGATGGGGCGAAGCGCGATAGAACTGTCTGGTGAGTTGTCAAACCTTGGACGATAAAACTTCATGCATGGCTGATTACTTGCAGGCCTGGTGATCTTGGTGTGGCGGTTCCGGCTTCGTTTTACAGCACGGGTGATTTGCAGTATGATTCCTTGCACGCGTTTATTCGTGTCACCACTCACACTTTCCGATAGGAGCACAAGGTACGGGTTGCAATCGCTGTACAATAACCAGGTTGGTACAACATGCCTTTCCCGTAAGCCACATGCCTCAACATCTGACTTCTTATAGAATGCACAAACTGGCGAGCTGCCGTTCTCGGGCACTCCCTTGTCGGCCACGCATTGCATGTCGTACCACATGTAGGCAAACGCTGTCGCCATCCCGTATGTCCCAAAATAACTAATTCCTATCAGGTGGACCATGATTGGCACGTATAACTATGTATTTTACTCTGATGAGGTAGATTTTCTGACGCATAATTGGGACAAGTGTAAGTTCAGACGACGAAATTGTCCTTGATTTTGAGGTGCTAACATGGTACCAACTCAGATAAATTCGCCATGTCATATGCTATTAGCCAAATCGATAGCACAATCGGGCTCATAAAAAGCGACAGCCCCGACGCCGACTGGGGTCGATTTTGGGCGAATGGCACCTTGACCTCATTACAAGCTATTTTCTACCGGACATTAGTCACGGGCGCTCAGCTCGCTGACTGGGCAGGCGATACGACAGGTCTAGGCGTGAATTGGCTGCAGCAGGCAGAGGAAATCCAGTCCCTCACTAATGAAATCAATTGGGATCCCTCGGTGGGAGCCTTTTTCGATGTGACGGAAAGACCAAATATCCATCCTCAAGACGGCAACTCCCTGGCGGTGTACTTTGGCATTGTCAATGCCTCGTCTGCTGCAGCATCCAGCATATCTGACTACCTTGCGCACAATTGGACGCCCATTGGCGCCGAGTGTGAAGAGCTTCCTGGCGAGATATCGCCTTTTATCTCGTCCTTTGAGATCCAGGCACACCTGTTGACCGGCAACACCCAACGAGCCCTTGACTTGATCCGTAGCTCCTGGGGCTGGTACCTTGACCATCCCAATGGCACCCAGAGCACAATGGTTGAAGGCTATCTGATCAATGGCACGTGGGGCTATCGGTGGAATGCAGGCTATCAAAACGACTTTTCGTACACGTCGCACTCGCATGGATGGGCTACAGGCCCGGTGACTGCCCTGACGGAGCGTGTATTAGGCCTCAGCATCACTGGCCGAGCCGGCAAATCGTGGAGGCTAGCTCCGCAGCCGGGAGACTTGACCCATGTGGAGGGTGGATTCACGACGAAGCTGGGCAAGTTCAGTGCAAGCTGGACCAAGCAGCATGACGGGTCGATTGCTCTCGACTATGACGCCCCCCACGGCACGACTGGCGAGGTCGTTGTGCAATCCAGTGTGACCAATGTCACGGTACGCAGCTTGGAAAGCAGGGTAAAGAGAGGAATGTTTGAAATCGTCGATGACAACAATGGCGGAAAGACGCTTCTCATCAGGAGTGGCGGAGGTCGGCATAATATCGTCCTTCGCTGAAAAAGAAGGCCTGCACATGCTGCTTGGCCTTTTGTTTGTCTTGGGCGCATACGTAAATTTGTTTTTTTCAGCTTATATCTGTATTTCAGATATGTCTAATGAATATACCCAAGTGAGTACATGAGGAACATCATCTCATGAGCAGTCGTGCCAATTTCTTTGGAACCCCTTGCCACTATTAGGCTTGGTTTTGACGTATCTGAATTGAGTGACTGGAGTGGCAACATACCTGGGCATCCGCTTTAGACACATTGTTCGTCTCTGCACAATGCAAAACGTCCACGAAATATCTCTGGTCGTGGGCAAGACGAGATTTGACGTAGAAACCACCATCCGGGCGAGGGCTGCCTGCGTCACTAGATCTTAGTCTTACACTTGTTCGAGTGCATTAGGCTCCTTGAGTAGGTTCGTTCGCATAATTGAGCTCATCTTCCTCCTCAACCTTTCTCTTTCCCCAGAATCCCTTTCCATAACTAACACAAATCTCCTCGCCCTTGGCAATCCCCGCAGCACCATCGGCCTTGCCCTTGCCCTTGCCCAAGACGGCCTTCTTCCCAGCCGGCAGCACAAAGACACCCATGCACTTTTGCCCGACGCGCGGATCCCAGCACTCGCGAAACTCTGCATTGGGCCGGGCGCGCACGCCGCGGTAGTCATTAACGAAGCGGGCCTCGTTGCCAGCGGCGGCGGCGTCGACGGCCACCTCGGCCTCGCGGTCCAGCCAGAGATCGTAGTCGCTGGCCTCGTGCGCCGCGCAGTGCGGCGGCGCGGCCGAGTGCACGATGCCGTAGTACGGCAGAATGAGGGATCCCGGCGCCAAGGGCCGCGAGGCAAAGAGCCCGGCTTGCCCGTTGGCTGGGTGTCCTGGGTCTGCAATGGGGGTGATGCGGACCAGCGTCGAGGGACCCCGGGGTAGACTGAGTGGGACCTCGGTGGTTAGGTCTGCTGGTCGCGTCCTGAGCGCCGTTATTTGGTGTTTGCTGAGATGCGCTGCGTGCGAGGGCTGGGAGAGGTAGGGTAGGTTTGCCGGCCAGTTTGCTGGCGTTGGATTGGCATTTTTGCCCATTTCAATATTTTCCTACCGAATTGATGAATCTCGATGACAAAGAAGCAGATCAACTAGTGTTTCGTAACGTTTGGTGTTGAATATACAATCTATGGTTGGTGTTTGGTGTTCCTGTGGATTCGAGACTTGCCAGCCGCAGCTTGGGGGATTTTCTAGCCAAGTCCGTCTGCTGCCAGCTGCAATCGCTCAATATACTGGGATGTTCGAAATGACCGCAAGCAGTTCCGTGTTACAAGACAGGAGCATCAGACACTGCCATATAATTAGTTAATGAAGTCTATAAAAACCAAAAAGTAAATAATTCAAGAGATGCTGTGAGGTAAGTAATATTTGGTGCCCCGAAGCGCTTACAAAGCTTGAAGCTGTCATTTTGGTTGCCGACGGATAAAACTTCACGACAGTCCCGGTTTCCTTGACAATGAAAGCTTTCCAAAATACAGGTAGTTTGTATTACTAGCAAGAACTGGTGATACGACATTTTGCTCAAGATGTTACTGCCAGGTTTGGGTTGTACTTGCTCAAATAGCATCAAAGGTTCTCTGTAGGAAAGTGTGATTGTTCTCGGGGTGCCGCCATGATTTATTGATGTCCTACCGTCACCTCGGAGTTCATCTTCAGTTACCATCTTCATATCACTGTCAGAGATCGCTCATCTCAGCGTCAAACAAAGCAGAATCATTTTGGTACTACACTCAAGCAAACCACTTTGTCATTTATTTGCCATGGACGACCCTATTGGCCACATCCAGCTCACTCTCGACGCCATGGAGGCCTGTCAAAATGCCTTGGTGTGTAGCCTTAGCTGCCTCGAGTTCTTTTACAATCACAGTACAGACTCAGCCTCCTCCATCAATTACTCCGAGTCCACCGATCGCCATATAACAAACACCTTAGACTACCTACATTCCACTGGTGCCTACCTTCAGGCTTCTCTAGAGTATATCGAGATCTCCCATCAGGATGATGACAAGTCCAGCATCTTGGAGGCCATCAAGAGTTTCAGTGCAATGCTGGAAAAGATTGAGTTGATCGACAAGTGAGTTTTCTTTTCTTTCTTTTTTTTTTTTTTACCCTCCTTCTCGTTCTGCAACTCCAGATTTGCCGAGCTGCTTGCAGTCAGTCGTACTGATGCCATGTTTAGGAAGTTTTTTGATTTAGCGATGATTAAAGAGAGAAGACGAGCAACCGAGACTGCTAAGGAGAGGGAAGCAGCTGAGGGTGAAAGCCAAAATCCTCAGCATCAAGACTTGGACTCTGCCGCCGACCGCCCCGAGAATATCGATTGAACCCAGAGCTGGAACAAATAAACTGTGTCCTCGCCCAGCGCTTTCTCATATACGAGGTTTCTGGAAGATGATATTTGAAGGGTGACATGGATGCAGATACCTGGTGTCCAAGCAGGATCACCGTGTACGGTTATGGGTGTGCACCTTTTTTGCGCTCATGCATTCGCTATCAGATGGAATGAGTATGAGGACTAGACAAGACGTGTATTGTATCCAGACTCGTTATGGTATACATGCAAGAGTATAAATACTAATGCTCTTTGTCTTCTCCTTTGCTATTATTCCAACTTTGTGGTTTTACTTGTGCCTTGTCTAAATATGCCTCCATCTAATGCTTCGGCTGGATGGTAGCACTACCAACCTTACCATCAAAACATGAGTTAGGTACCCAGCTGACGTCACTGATTCTATATTGGCGATACCGTTCTTTCCGTCGTATCAAGCAGGTTTGGGAAGTGACGATGCAACATTCCCGGTGCTTACATAACAGCCCGGATTCGGTCTATACCTTCCGTGCATGTGTATGTACTATATACAGCAACAACACTTTGACGACCAAAAAGACAAAACGCCAAAAATCATCGCGATACCCGTCACATGCACCAAAAAGAAGGTCCGCCTGGGGATCGAACCCAGAATCTCCTGATGTCAACTGATTACAACTCTTTATGGAAAGGAGTAGATCGTAGTCAGACGCAATGCCAATTCTGCCAACGGACCGATGACCAAGCGCTGAATTGCTTCAATGCTTGTTGAAAAAATCTTGAATTGTTAGAGTCTATAATGCAGAAATTTTCACGAATAAGCGGAGCTTGGAGCGGAGCGGCCGGGTCGGAAATGGAGTCGGTGAGGCCCCGGTTTTTGACAAATAGTTGGCGCTTTTTTGCCTGGAGCAGGGCACATGTGGCAGGGCAAGTTTTTCTTCTGCTCAGGCTCGTCAGGGTTGCATGGTCTATTGCGCGGTCTAAAATGTAGAGCTAGGACTTGGGGCACTATAAATGTGGTGGGGAAAATGGTACACTTAATGTGCATCTAGTTGGGACTTGGAAGTGGTTGGTGACGAGAGTCTTCCCAAGTCACCTTTTTGCCGTGTCCGTGACGTTTCCAACATCCTCTGATCAATATTTGCAACTGGCTGTCCGTCATTTGAATTTGTAATATAGCCGTGATGTTTCTGTCTCAGTAGTCCCTGCTTTGCTTCAAGGGCTGGTGGCTAGTGAAAAGAAATTGGGAATAGACCACCATTATGGCAATGCAAAGGAATTCTCTTC